AGAGAGGGGGAGGGCGTTTGGTGAGAGGGTTGGCGGGGGGTTCGGGACGATGTCCATTGTGTATCTGGGCCCTACCTGTACGCTGCTGCTCCTGGGTATTATCCTGAATAAAGTGCGGACTGTGGAGGACCGTGGCGTCGCTCATCGTGTGCGCCGTCATGATCCTGAGGGACAGCACGAGGCCGGACTGGCTCCTCTCGGCCGGCAGATCCGTCACCTCGAGCATGCTCGGCGTCAGGCTCGTCGCGGACGCCAACAGCCGTCTGGTGTCGGCGTCGAAGACCTGCAGCACGTAGGTGGCGGTGTTCGCGTCGAAGTACTCGCTCTCGGCGCAGCTCACCCGCACGGTCGTCCGGCTCTCCTCCCGGATCGTGCAATTCTCCGGCGAGGGCGGTTGCGCCAGCCCCTTATCTGCTACCGGAAGTGCCACAACACACCAGCCTCAGCCTTCATCTGACTCTCAGGGGGAGTGACGAGGGTTGGGGCGGGGGTGGTTTTCGGGAGAGTCAAAGGTGGTCTCGATGGCAGCTCAGGGCCGAATGGTTGTTTCATGAGTTGGAAAATGGTCATTAAGTGTGACGGGTGATAATCGGTATGAAATGTATGCAGATTTATGCAAATATATGCCGGATAAATGGTCGGAAAGTCATGACTGGTCAACAGCGATGCTTGGCCGTAGGCTCGCTAAGGAGTAATGAACTTTGAAACTAATCGACGAGCTCGTGTCATGTCGCGATTAAAGAGAGACTGGCGAGCAAGCGGCCGCGAACGGAGGTGACTTGGAAATCAGAGAAATCGAACGACTGACAATAACAACGCGAGTGACTTTGTGATAGAGAATATGAGAGATTCGGCCAGCTGATACGCTCTCCTCTCGCGAATTTCAAGAATTTCACAAATTTCTTTACTAAATTCAGCAAAAATTCGACCCGCAATTCGAATGTCTGTCGAGAAATCATCAAGACACGCGTACGCGAATGGAGCTTAATCAGTCGTGATATTGCTCATCGTAAACGCGTCCTCGCGTTTTCGCGAGCTTGATGGCGCGCGATCCCTTCGAGAGAGCTCGATCACGCCGATGGATTTTCATGAAATGTGCCAATCGTTCGTCACGCCGTGCACCGACGTATTTTAATGCAAAACGTCAAAATGCAATCGATACCCGCCAGTCATCGAGCGAAACGAACCGATCCGTGCGCATATTTTTGGCATTTTTATCGCCTCAAAAGCTGCCATTCGATGGCGTGCAGCAGTCCTTTAACGCGGTCCATAGTTTTCAGATTGCATGGACAAAGTGTATCCCTTACAAAAGATAAAGTCGCTACGATTTCGGTGAATTCAAACTTTGAATAATGAGAGGAAAAAAGGGGGTTCATTTGATCATTAATGCACGACTCTCGGTCTTTGTAATACGTTAAAAATGTACTTCTGCGCTTACGTGACATTTTTTATCTCAGCACGATTCATAGAATATGCTTTCAGTCTTTGTAACGCGGCAAAAATGTTCTTCCACATTTCATTTTTCATCAGCACAATTCGTGGAATATGCCGGTGAAATTTCGCGAAGCATTTTAAAATTGGAGATCGGAATTATGCTGCTTTCAAACTTTGATTTTCTCTTTCCCGCGAGAATAGTACCGTATCGTCGAGTCTTCGTTCGTTCGGGGCGCGGATATAAATCGGGCGAGCGTAGCGTAAGGAACGGCGATTTGTAATGAAGGAGGGCCAGCTGACGCGAAATACGAAAGCCTTTTATAGTCTGGTTTACCCTATCTCGATCCACTGCGCGCCGGCCGCAGTAGAGCGGATAAACGACGACGCCGACGGGTTCCGCAGCCGCCACCTATTAGCCGCGCATTATTAACGCGCGTACACCGCTTAACGTCCGTCTACGTGCACCCACGGGTTAATCGTAAGCAATTAGTTAGAAGAATGTGGCGTAGTGGACCCGGGGGTCGCTGGCGTTAAATTAGGCCGAGAAATTTGTTTAATGGGGTTACGCGGAGCTGCTATCAAAACTATATCTCGCGACAGGGACGAACTTGAAAACGCGTGCAGATTATCGCGATAAGATACATTATCGTTACGCTAACAGCAGAATCCTTCGTATCTCCTTTTCAATATTAAATCTGTGCTTTAATTATTTTGATTGAATTGTTTAACAAAGGACGTTAAAAAAGTCAGTCGAATTAAATTAATTGAACTAAATATTACAAGGTGTAATGCATGTGGAATCACAGTGCTTGAAAAAGCTCATCTTTTTGTTAATTTACGATAGATTTACGTAAAATATAAAAAAGATTTGCTAATAAAAGATAACTATCAATGTTTTTCTGATAAACGAAAAGATTATACTGAGATTTAAGGAATAAGAATTACATCGAAAATAGATTTATCTCTTAAAAACAATTCGCGCGTAGCATTATTATTGATTATTCTGCTTATTCCGTCATCGAATTATTGATGCTGATTGTCAGAGATGAAAGTGGAGTGAGTGGGAATAATGAAGAAAGTACGAAACGGTCATTGACGACGAGCGATCATGCGCCGGTGTCGATGTATGCATCTAATGGTATCTTAAAAATACTGTACGTCCGCTACGATTTTGATGCAATTCTCTACACGAAACTCTAAACACGGTCACATAACATACGTGTGCTTGATTGAAGTAAAAATATAATACCATCATTTGCTGAAAATAGCCGTGGATTTCAGACGGACGAATCCAATATCATCGTAACTCGCAAATTTATGCTCTCCAAGCGTGCATATGTTTTGTGAGAAAAATTTTATTTGATACATGCACATTTCGTGTATACGACTGAAATATGATATTTTCTGAATCTATGCGATATTCGTACGCAAAATGCAGAAGTGCTGTTGTTAAAATTGTTTTTATGATTAACCATACAAGAGCGTAACAATAAAAATAATGTACGAATTAAATATTATTTGATAACTAAATGCACGAACAAATTATTAGAATATATTTTTGTCAGTTTTACTCGTTTCGAGAGAATCGTGTTGTTCAAGCATTTTCATTAAAATTTGTTACGATATTCTTTTTATTTTATAACTACAACTTTGTATTTCACGATTAATTCAATTATCAAATAATTAATTATTAAACTTTGTTAATACGTGTTTTAAAATAATCTTAAAATGAATTTTGCATTGCGAAAAATGCCAGCAAACAAGATTTGACACACAACAGTTTTATTTTATAATTTTACACAAACTCGTGAATATATTTATTGTTTTAGTATTAATCAATGTTTCTTTTCTGCCAGATATAGTTTTTCTCGATTATGGTACATTAAACTACAAGCTAAATTTCCGTCAGATAGAGAGCGAGAGAGGCGAGAGGAAATTAAATTCCATTACAAACTTATTACTCATTTAAACTTTTCTGCATACATCCTGTATAGCTGTTTGTCTAACTCCCGGCAATAATGAGGGATATTTGGTGCAAACCGTTTGAATGATCTCGCGCAAATCAACATAGATGCACGATATTGTGGCGTAATATACTTGCGAAACTTTCACGCGGCCACTCAAAAAGCCGCTGAAATCGAGTTACGATGTTATTGCTCGAGAGAGGATCAATATGTTCACACGAGTTCTACGATGCAAGGCCGTGCAGCGTAGCGAACAGTGCTCAAAATATTAGATCGATTCATAAGCAATATCCGTATCTAGAATGCTTCCTTCATATTCTCACTTTTCGTTTATATTTCCGGTGCATTTTTACGATACGTACCAAGTGTCGTTTTATGCTGCGGTGGCGATATTGTTGTGGTATCGAAACTGAGAAATTGCTCCATAAACTATAGAGTTTATTACACCGAAATGAAAAAAAGTTTTAATCGAGAGAGAAATTATAAAATATAATCAACTGTATACTTGGAACACTGATTACTTAAAATTTGTGTGACGTTATATATTTAAAAAGTCTACGCCATAGAAGCGCAGAAAATTATCTAATGAACAGTTAAGAAGCATCGATGATAAAAGGTGTCTTTGTTATCATCGTCAGTATTTGTTATATTTATTTCATTATTATCTCTATCGTGATTATTATCGCTGCTATATCAAAGAAAACTCCACTCGAAACGCAAAGCTCCTTAAAACTCCTTTAAACGTTTGCTCAGCACTCCGCCCAACGATACCGCACCGTTTCAGCATGCTCGTATGGCTTCGTAGACACACTTATGAATCGTCTGATATGCATATCGTGAACGACTTTATCGCGGATCGACTCGTCGCCGATCATTTTCTCGGCTCGGCTGTTGGATTCTGACGGACGAACGGACTCACCTGTTCGTCTCTCAGGGAGATTGAGGGTGGTGGCGCGAAAGTGCACGGTCTCGCTGCGACCTTTGCTGTTGGTGGAGTAAATGGTGACCTCGTAGGTGGTGCCGGGGTCCAGATTGCCGACCGAAAAGATGGGTATTTTGCTGGTCTGGTTGTAGACGGTCGTGGCACCGCCTTTGCCGGCTTCGCGGTCCACCTGCATGGTGAACTTTTGCGGTAGCCCGCCGTCGAAGCCCTCCACGCACTCCACGTAGATCGAATCGGTCGTTTGATTTAGCAAGGAGCAGTTGTGCGGCGTATCCGGGCGGCCTGTTGGATTCGCGCGCGCGCAATCAGTGTCGAGGTTCGATTTATGGCGATGCTCGGCGCAATTAGCAAACATAAACAACTGCTTAATGTGTGAAATTTAAAGGGCATCCTACGGTACCGTGAAACATATCCGGCGCGATTCCATATCAAAGTTGTGACCCCGCGATAACATGGAAATCGTCGATTAATTATTTACAATTGGAAGGAAATGTATATATATATATAATTAATGTAAATCCGAATCGCTTGTTTGAGAAATAGTCTTTATCCATTTTATATTTATTATTCGTGTATAAATTTAATCTTGCTGAATCGCTCGGAAAGATCTTCGCAAAATGGCAAAATAGTCATTTCGGAAGAAATAAGAAACCGAATTCCGACGAGAGACTGCTGACAAGAATAATTGGTCCCCGCTAACGTCGAGATTTGATCGTCTTTCATCAACCGATACGAGCTTAGCTAGATATCCGTTTTTGTTCGCGTAACTACTCGGCACTTAAATCGAAATGTCCCTTTTACGCAATGTTCGCCTGATGGTGGGTTTTATTACGGCTTTCCGGTGGTTTAGTGCCAAACCGAGTACTAAAATGCGTTTGTCACGTATTTGACGCGGCCGCCTGTAATTCGTGTTCTTCACGTATGAATGATATCTTCGGCGGCCGGCAAATAAATTGTTCCGCGTGATGCGTAAAAACGACCAGTTTGCGTGAACTTTTTACGCTACCGCGATAAAAATTTGCGGTGATATTTTTCCAATATTTTACGAGCGTATCTCGAATGTGAAGATAGTTCTTCCGTTAAACTGTATTAAAAACTGAGTTAAATTGGATTTTAGAATGTAAAATTGCATATTAGCGAGATATACTGTTACACGAGCTAGTCATGAAAATTGAACATCTATACGTTGGACGTTGAAAAACCGCCGTGATAAAAGTTATGATCATATTTTTCCAATATTTTGCGAGCCTGGCTCGGACACAAAGATAGTTTGTTTTCGCTAAACGATTTAGAATGCAAAGTTACACATTCGAGACGTAGCTCCGTTTAAACTGCAATCGTAAAAAACTAGTTGAAGTAGAGGAAACTAATAGTACTCGTCAAGATAAGTGAAGCGTTTAATGAGCACAATTGCCATTTCATTCTGAAGTGTGAGAACATGTTTTGTCACACACAGCAGTGTTTGTTTTCCTGCAGTTGTGACAACAACATGTAAATTTCAAGTGTTACAATCGATTGCTTTATCTGTATTCAAGTTTATTACTTTTCCCTTATTTCAAGCACTATTTATTCTCTAACGAGATTTTTGTCATCACAAAATATCATCTGTACACGCGTGACGATATTCACGCGCCAGAAAAAATTGTATTAAAATAATCTAAATTGTAGTGAAAAAATTATAAATTGAGGAATTTTTTTTTTATATAACGACCTATAGATATTGAAATAAATGTAACGAGAATTCGAGTGAGAAAGATGTTGATTCTCGTTGAGTTCACATCGCGCCTCGTAAAGAAATCCCTTCCGGTTTATCGAGATGCCGATAATTTGATAAAAATGCAGTGGACGCGATGCATTTATAAATCACGGAATGCCGGATGGCGGTGTTTCGCGGCGACGACAGGAAGAGTAAATGCATCGAATCTGTTGAATGCACTTTTCAAGAGCTTCGGAACGACGCAACATTCGTCTGCTAAAATCGATTGCCGTCTTTTAAAAAGTTGTGTCCGCGACAACGTTCGGTAGATTCATCGATCTTCGTTGCATTTGATTTATTCACTTGATGATGATAATGATATCAGCGATTGTTGAGTCACAAAAAAAGAAACGCCGAATGTCGCATAATTTATGTCGCGATTTACATTTGTGTCTCAACGTGAAAATTGAAATGAGACGCGCGATTACGATTCGACTCGGAGAAAATGAATCTCGCGTTCCGTTCCCGTTATTTAATAATAATTATTACTTTAAACATTTGTATAATAAATTTTTGCTGGATTATTAATCAATTATGTGGTAATTAGCATTAAAATATGTTGTGCAGTAATTACAAGCTAACGCATGCAATTACTTGTATAAAGCACAACAAAATAACGCGTTTAATATTTCGCAACAGTCGTTACATTTCAAGCATCGGCAACACATTTCTGTATTTAATAATAATTCTCATTTTCTCCCGACGATGCACGAGAGCAATCACGATAATGTAACAAATTAATGCGATAAATAATGTTCCAGTGAGCCCGCCGTTTAAGAATGTACGTTTTTAAAACGTCTTCAAAAGTGTCCAAGAGAGACACCGAGATACATTTCTTAATAATCAGATTAGCAAAGAAGGATGCGCGTGTCGCGAGGACCGACGGCAGGCCGTAACACACCCTTTGAAGGTAATTTTTCAAGATGCACGGTGAGTATGGTGAGGCACTTACCAGCTGGCACGACGTGGTAGACGCACGGCTCGAGCTGAGTGCCCTGGTCATTGCTGCCCCAGCAAAGGAGAGTACCATAGTCCAGTTCGGTCATCGGTGTGTAGGAGGCCGTCGAGTGTGTATGCTCACTCGTGATGTGCGCCTGAGCTATGTCCACCGCCTCCATTGTATTATTGAATTTCCAGGTGAACGATACTTCCGGCGGGTTCGCCTCCAGCTCGCAGGGGATGCTCGCGGTCTCCTGCCGCGCCACGCCGAATACCTTCGTCTGGCCGTGTTGGCATACCGGCACAACTGAAAATGTAAATGTTGGTTTGCGCGTCGAGAATATAAAGCTCTCTCCGGTCATCTCTGCGGACGTTTCGCGAGATGTGTGAACGATAAACGTTAGGTATCTTTGGACCCTCTTTGGATTATTCGTTCGATATCTGTTGTTTTTGCAACAACCGCACGCTCCGATTGCTGAAATTCGATAATTTACAGGGCGAACACGCAGTGTGCAATTTGCGCAGAATTTTTCGATATTGCCTTTCGACTGCGGTTATTAAATATCATAATAATAAAAATGGCGGTTAGAATTTAATCAATGGGTTATCAATAGTAATGGAATTATTTAATATTAAAAATTATAAAGGGGCAAATTGAACCTCAAGCATGCGAGCACGTGACAAAGTAAAGCGCGTATGTGTCTGTGTTCTTAGTTAATTTCCACGCGAACTGATAACGGAAACTCGAGTCGTTTGTACGAGACTGCGTAATTGGGGAATCGGTCGTTTAATTAATTAATAAAATTAGTGTATGACCGATGATTTTAGAACCGAGGGTTCTCGGCAATCCGCCCGGTGACGTGGCCGGATCTTTTCCCCGAGTAGCCGGATGTGTCGAGGAACGATCGACACGTAAAATCTGATACTCGTCGGAGACTAACGCGATTATTAAGCACTATCCGTAATTAAGCATTAACGATGGAATTCGTGTTTCCGCGCCATTCCCGAGTTCGTGTCAACCTCAGTCGACACGGTATCTGATATCGCCGTAATATACATAATACGCAATATACATGTATATATCCTGTAATCTACATATTGCAACAGTGCACCATTAGTAGAGCATGTCTTCATTGTTCAGACACCAGCGGGGGCATTCGCGTATGTTCGCGAACGACGTTTTCCCCTATTATATTCTCCGCCGGGAAGCAGTTACCGCCACGTTGCTTTACAATTCATGGCGACCGAAAGTACGTCGTTGCACCCGCTCGGAAAGAAAATAAGCCTATAGCGGCATGTGGCTTTTCACGTAGCCATGGAAAGGAGGAAAAAAAGAGCGCGCACGTTCTTAAGTACTTCGCAAAGCGTTCGCGGAGTGGCTCGCAAATGAAGAAACTGTGTAAGCACGCTTAAGACATCTCTCCAAGTGCCGAAATTCTGCCTCAACATTCCAACATCTACCGTAGCATTAAAATTTAAAAGGAAATTTTTCATCTCTCGAAACAAACTTTGGCTGTGTGCTTTTATTTCTGGGTGTCTCGAAATATCTTGGAAATTTTCTATTTTGAGAAATGAAAAATTTGCGATATACGTTCGTTAAGAATAAATAAGTTCCAAATTGGCCTAAGCATCGACGAAAAAAAAACAAAGCTTGGGGCAATGTATGCAATTTCCTGTACAGAATATTGCTATTTTTTTCGGAATTGAATTGGCAAATATAAATCCATTCCAACAAATAATTACAACTTATACATTTGTAAAAAATTTCGTAAAATATTGTTTAAAAGCGACCTAAAAATTTTTTATATATATAGCCTGAAACAACATTCCAATTAAAATAAATAAAACAAACACATTTGGCAAAATATTGATATTTATATACTAGGTATTTATTTTTTCATTTTTATTTCTAAATGCTCGCGCGACGTGCGCGCATTTTACGAGCGCCGAAGAAATCTTTCCTGTACGGATGAAACAATGCTAGTAATTAAAAAATTCGCGTAGTTGCATTTGCGTTCAATGACAATCCGTGGCGCGTCCCGACGCACCCCGAACGCGTTTACACCCGAAGCCCGCGCCGCGATCGATCGTTATCTCCGGTAGTTTCTGCAATTGACATTCACTTCCACGGAGACGAAAGAAGATATTCGGTGTAAGCTGACAAAGGATCCCCTGCGACCTCGGGCTCGGGGCGGAAGTCCGGTCCGTCTCGTCTGGAAATTCAATAATACTTTGGACGTGGAAGTGGAGAGCCGTAGAACATGCGGGATATCCGGCGCACATATAAGACAGACCCTTCATTGATTAGATCAGTCATAAAATTCCGGACCGGTATCCGGTGCCCGCGTATTGCATCCCCCTTTGTACTTTGCACAGTTGTCGAAAGGAGTCGATCTTGGCGATGCCGGGAATGTTCTGGAAAAGCGTCTTAGCCAGCCAACCGTCGTACAAGGGATATATCGGGGGGCCGATCCTTTGTCCTCCTACGCCGATCGCAGAGAGATATCTTAGGGATGTCATAAGATTGCAATAAAGGTCATGAGTTTTGCGTCGGCGCGGCGTGCGTTGCGCGATCGCGTACGATTGGAAATCGCGTTCTACAGCGACTTTATACTTTCGCGTATCGCGGCGCGCCGGCATTACGATCTTTCAAAAACGACTGGCTAAACGTATACATAGAAAGAAAAAATGCGTTTACCGACACTTTTTTAAAAATCAATTTTAAAAAGAAATTTATTTTTCGCTCAATTTGCTTAAGCATTCGTCGAAATAAGCATAAAAGCTCGCGGAAGTGGATTAACGTAACAGTTCGCCGAAAAATTCGAAAATTGCGAGAGTGAACGCCACGACCCTCAGAATACATCGGCGAAATGGACTCGCATTACGAATGCAAAATGCAAATTCTTACGCTGATATTGTCAATAGGGATTAAAGTTGATGCGCGCGCGAAGCATATACGCGCTCAGTGTCCCCTCCGTTCTTCAGAATTGAATTGAACTTTCCGGCTAAGTGGAGCCTTTCCTCCGAGAACGATCTCCTACGTCAACGTCAACGTCTCCTCTCCGTCCTCGTAAAATCCGGCGGATGTTGAGCGACGCGGGGGATGAATGCCTCGCGATATCGCGGGATACGGGGGATATCGCGATCGATGGCCGAGGCACTGACAATAACCAATTAATGCCGGTCATTAAGCATCAGTGACAGATCGCTCACGCCAAGCGTCCGTGCCAGCTATCGAAATGATATCTGCGCCGTGTATGCATAATTCAACGGGCCGCAATATCGGGCTGCATCGTGAAAAATGCACGTCGATCTGTCGCGCGGGGAGGTGGAACGTACACGCGGAAGAGAAAGGCGGGAGGTGCGCTTTTTGTTCTATTTGGAGACTCGATATCGGTCCACCTCGATTATCGGCGGGAGCGAATTGATCTCCGAGGTATAACGTATCTTAAACATTTCGAGTCCACGGGGGATGCTTTAATCCCAGACGTGTCTGATTGGAAAATTGCAGTTTTAAATTATGCGCAAGAATTTACGTATCGAAATAATAATTATTCTCAAATATAACTTTGTTTCTCTCACAATTGTTCGTTGAAAAAATTTCAAAAAATCCTAAAGAATGACATTTTTCGTTCCCTTACGGTTTCAATCAATTATTAATCGATTAAACTGGAAAAAAAAGTTTCCCGCCGTTCTCCCTCTCGCACACACACGACGGCGATTGCTCGAAGTGATTAAGATTGAGTGATTAAGTTTCGTCAGCGGTTCGGCAGATCCCTCTCGCTTTTAGCAGAAAGTAAAATTACGCTCGGTAGCCCGTTAAAGCCTCTCAGCGAATGTCTGGCGGCGGATACGCTTGTAGAACACACGCGGCGAATGCCGACCCAAGAATTATCGGATATCCTGCCGGTGACAGATTCCTTAGGAGATTTAACGGTACATTAGTTCCGGAGACATCCTATACATACGCAAGCGCGCGGCGCACCCCTCCTCCCCGATACGAGGCTCGGGCATATTATTCTATGTTTGCGATATTTGCATCATGAATCTTCGTCGATCGCTCGCGGCGTCGCGCGGCGCGGCGCCCGGACGTACATCATCCCTGCTGCTGAAATTCGTAAGAACGTCGTCGAGCGGGGTACGTCACGGAAATTTATAATAATAATAATCTACGGCGTATGAGACCGCGTGGTCGTGCGCGCGCGAGCGCAAGCGCGCGCGAGTGGCCATTACGTCAAATAACGAAGATTTATGCACGCGTCGTGGCGACGATGTACGCCCGCATAGCTTATGCAGGCGGGCAGGCAACACAACTATCTAGATACCCAGATATTATATGGATCGAGCGTGGCCGGGACCTGAGATGATACATGTGCGTCGATGCCTTGCTTAATCAGATACATTAATTAGCTGGCGTTAATGGACCTAGTTAGATGCGTGGCACGTGGTATGTTAGCTCTATCGGGCCGATCGACCGATCTTCGATGAGATTATCAGGTGTCGTATCGCGCGCGACGCGCGATCGGCGAGACACATCGCGCGATAAGGCGCGCCGACATTCCAGCGGCATTTAAATGCTCGTGACGGGGAGAATTTTCGTCAAGAATTTTATCTCAATTAGATTACCTCGAATTATGGCGGCGTTAATGAACCCTCGTCGCGCAATCGCGCCGTCGATATCGACCGGTGGATCCTCCGGCGCGGTAATAATCGGACAATGTGTGTATTCTACACTGTAGCTATCGCTTTGATATATTAATACGACGCGCAATTAATACGTTGCGCGTGCGCGACGAAAATGCCGCTCGGTATATCGGGTGGAGGAATTTCTCAAAGAATTCCGCCGCAAACACCATCGTGAACATTCACGGGGCCCCCGGCGTATTGTTAAGGATTACAGATGGGTGACACGCGTATCGATCGATCGCCGTCCGGGCGACGTCTTGGCTCGGCTTTTTTTTTTTCACGCGACTACATAATCTATCCAATCTATCACGGTGAATAAATCAAAACGCCCGGCGAGAAATCGAATTCACTTTTGCAGCGCGAATAAATGTCCGGCCGGCGGCTGCGATAAATTCATTGACATATTTCATCCGGCCGGCAGCGGCGGCGGCGGCGGCGGCGGCAGCATTCTAGTTTACGCCGTCCGTCGTGTAATTAAATTACAGCGGGCGAAATCTAAAGTTAGCGAAACGAATTTCGCGAGAGCGCGTGTATTGCGCCGATAACAAGCTGATCGATAACGTATGTACGTCTACTTCTGTCTCGGCGAAAGAGACAATTTTGCGGATCGAATCGCGCTAT